AACCCACATAAAAAAGGGAAAAAAAAAAAAAAAAAAAAAAAATCCACATACATGAACAATAGTATACACTTTTTAAGAGTACCTAAATCGGGAACCAGCAGTTAGCGTAATGGCTATGTCACTGGACTCCCATGTAGTCGACCGCGGTTCGTGTCCTGGACCCGGTGGCTTAAAACTCACGCCGGGCGCGTGTGCGTGCATGCCCAAGATCCCGAGAGGAGAATGGAGGAGAAGGGATTGCAGCGTGACCATCACCCCTGGGGGGTGATTTCTCGCTTTCTGTCTCTATGTCTCTCTCTGTCTGTCTGGCGAGCGCACGCGCCCTATAGCAAAAATCTCTCCCAAAAAAAAAAAAAAAAAAAAAGAGTACCTACATGGATCCACAAATGGTGTGGTGGTTAAGGCAGGTGTATCTCACATGGTTGACTGCATGGTTCAAGTCCCGGACACCAGGCACGTGTGCTTGTATATCCAAAAATGCTGAGATAAGAATGAGGAAGGGATTGTGGCTTGGCCATCCCCCCCTTGGGGGGTGCATTCTTACTCTCCCTCTCTCTCTGTTTCTATGGTGAGCACACATACACTTAAAAGAAAAAAGAAAGAAAGAAAAAGAAAAGCACCTATGTGGCATGTTAATGCCCAGAAAAGAACTTGAAAAATATGTGCATTAAAAAAAAAAAATGACCTATGAAAAGATGGGTAAGGGTCCAGTGTCAATGCTTTACATTATAAGGAGAGCATGTTCTTACCTGAGGCCTGGAAGTGTTTCTAATTCCCAGACTTTGTGTGATGCTCCTTTTTGGTATCTCTCAGCTCCTCCTATGCAATGTACAGAGGTTCTGAGCTCACCATTCAGCATAAATGCTGGCCCTGCCTGAATTTCCTACTGGAAGGTTCTCCCCCTCTAAGTAAGCATGTCATTGTTACAGTCCCTGACACTGTATACGATGTTTATTGGATGCATACCCTAAAACTCCAGGCAACTAAATTATTCAAAGAATGAATTCAGAGGCTATTTCTAATAGGTCACAAGTCAGAATGTTTTTTCCCCAACCTAGACTTTAGAGAGACATTTTAGTATAGTGGTTCAAAAGCTAGGCTTACAGTTTAAAAGTTCTGGTTTTAAATTAAACTCTGCAAGATGAACTGTACTCCCTAGACAAATTATTTTTCCTCCTCTATATGACACAGTTCAAAATTTCGTCCTCCTGTATTTCTGGGAAAGAGAAAGGGGACATTCACCAATTAATTAGCACAGTACCTCATACTCAACAATATGCTAATCATTATTATGCTTTCTACACTCAATTACTAACACTAAATTAATAATTTCATAGCCTTGTGGCAAACATGAAGTGTTAATAAAGTTCTTAAAGATCTATCTTACCTCGACAGAAAAATATAAACCCTGACACTCTTAGCTAATGTGAGCAACTAAGGAACTGAAGGCTATCAGGTCCGTGCAAGTGAAAAATGAATACCTCATGTAATTTGGCAGAGTAACGTCCATACGGATCCACGCAAATTATGCATTTTTAACCTCCATTTCTATAAGAGAAGTTTTAATCATCTTACTTCACAGACTGAAATGTTCATATTCAGTTCATACATATTATTAAGCTGTACATCACTACTCCTTTTGAGGAAGAGGCTAACTATCTGAGTTATTAATATGCCGACAGTGTTCCATGATGCCTTCCACAGTTAATTGGCTAAGAAATCTTACTGGAAAAAAAAGTAATGAATAAGATGAATAAGTTTATACTCAAGTTCAGAAGATGCCTTGGATAAAGCTCTACACTTCATTTTTTACAAACTGCTGTTTGTTTTGAGTCGACATCTCTATTTTGTGTTAGGAAAATGGTCAGCATTTATGTTTCACCTCACCATCCGCATTATAATTTGTCATAAAGTGAGATCATCTTATAGCCCAAGTACATTTAATTCCCAAAGCAATTACTAAGCATCTCACACACTTAGGGTAAAAGACTAAAAAATAAGAAGTTATTCCACAAAGGGGTAAAGGAAGAACTTTCTCACACAGAAATGCAGGACCAGCAGGTGGTGTGGTGGTTTTCATGCTGGACTCCCACATGGCCGATTTCAGCTTGAGTCCCAGACCCAGCAAGCTTGAAACTCATGCTGGGCACATGTGCGTGCGTGAGAGGCAAAAATCCCGAGAGAACAGGAGAGAGAAGACCTTGGTGTGGTCATCTTCCCTGGGGGGTGATTTCTCAGTCTCTGTCTCTCTCTCTCTCTCTCTCTCTCTGTCTCTCTGGTGAGCACACGAGTACACTGTAGCAAAAATCTCTTAGTAAAAAAAAAAAGTAAAATAAGCAGAAATGTTAGGAAAAAGAATCTCTATAGAATCAAAAGTTAATGGAGTTTGTTAAAACTATTTCACTATTTCACCATTAGTCTCCTCCAAAGACTTAAATACTCTATGGAGTCTTTTGATATTAATCAAATTCACTAACTCAACAATTCAAGTGTATTTTATCTAAGTCTATGTAAGATGTGTAGATCATATGCACACGTGAAGTGCATACACAAGTATACACATAAATGTGTATATTTACAAGTATGTGTGTGTGTGTGTGTGTGTGTGTGTATATATATATATATAAATCTTACTTGTAGCTAGTTTCTCTGAATGCAATATATCTAGTGAGCAAACAAAAAGAAAAGAAATATATCAATTAAAACCCAGCACTCAAGTTACTCTGCTACCTATGTTGAGGACTGCAGATGGTGTTGTGGTTAAGGGTGCTGGACTCCCACATGGCTGATGGTGGTTCGAATCCCGGGCTGGATGGCTTGCTTTCTCATTCTTTCTCTTTGTCTCTCTCTCTTTCTTTCTCTCTCTCTCTCTCTTTCACTTTGTCCCTCTCTGCTCAAGTTAAAATATATAAATAAATAAACTTAAACAAAATAATTCTAAAAAACAAAGTTACTCTATTACCTGTGCTTACACTACGATTTTCTCTCACATAAATAAATGCAGCACAACAGGTACAGAACTGGACCCATTCATCACTCGAGTCATGATTATGTGGTTCATTAATGCTCGTGTGTAGTTTTATGAAGTTACTCCAGCCAGAGCATACGTTTCAGAAGTTATTGCCGATGACCGTATTTCCTCACTCCCTCAAATTCGATGTTGATGCTGCTAGTGAGAAACCTCAACAGTGATCATTCATTGAAGGACCCAATACAGAAGCAAGATTCTACAGTAGAAACACTGCTATTTCTTTTTTCTATTTTTCTTGAGAGGTTTTTGCTATAGGGCACGTGTTCGCCATAGAGAGACAGAGAGACAAAAAGTGAGAAATCACACATGCCAAGACACCGGGTCCAGGACTCAAACCATGAGTCGACTAAATGGGAGTCTAGTGACATAGCCATTACACTAACTGCTGGTCCCGAAACTCTGCTATTTCTAACAAAGAAAGCCAGTTGTCCCTCTAACCAAATCTGCAATCGCTGTAACAGAGCTCACCTGTTCATTTTTGCAAAGCCACACGCTGTTGCCACTTAACACAGTATAAATCTTGGCTTTATAACCTCTCAATTCAAGATATCCACATTTTTCAGGTGTGACCACTGCTGGGGACTGCGAGGTAAGGGACTGGGATTTCAGTGCGTTTAACAGGATGCTGATCCAGTCGTTTCTCTCCTCTGGAAGAAAAAAAAAAAAAAAGGAGAAATACATAAATCCGCGTAGGTTATGCAGATGTATAAATGTGAACACAGAACCGGCTGTCTTAGTCACAGGTAATTCAGAGTCTTTCCCACCCCCATCCTCTACGGGCTGTTTCAGGCAAGGCCAGTGGCCCCACTCTTCAAGAGGAAAAAAAAGGAAGAATACCACTGAGTTGTCCTGGAACCAGTAGCATTGGCTTATTTACCTGGAGTTTATGGAAAATGCAAAATCTCAGACCCTATTCCAGACCCGAGGAATGAGAAGCCGCAAGCTGAGAAGAAGGCCAGGTGATCTGGACCCAGGTCAAGGTCTGAGATGTACTTTTAGAGATCACCCATTGGACTGGATTTTTCTCTTCTAGTGGAAAAGAGGAATACTGCTATCCAGCAATTGACAGTATGCATCAATTTAGTTGTTCAAAGGCCCCGAAAATCTCACTTTCTAGCAGTCCAGAATCTGCCCTACTTAAAAGAGCAAACCCCGATATTTACTCTCCCCTTCCACTCTCGCCACAGTAACCAGCAGCAGCATCTTGTCTGTGAATGTTAACTCCCGCTCCATCCGCAAAAGCTAAGTGACCTTCAACTATGTACAACAGGCTCTTTTATGGGCACAGGCATTCGGTCTAGTCCCCAGAGAGCAATTAAAGCTGTGAGTCAAAGATGCAAAAACATAATGCAACACAGAAGAGTATAAATGTCATACGAATGCTATCAAGATAATATATGGGTCAACTAGACTGAGGTAATTGATTGGCTGCAGGTCATACACCAAACCAGTATTAAAATGAGAAGAATCCAATGTTGTAACTCTTACCCAACTGGTGTGGGCACCATGAAAAACAAAACAAAACAGGTATTCAAGCTACGTCTTGAGGATGAAAAGCAATTCAAAAGGCAGAACTGGAGTTTGGGGAAGAAAAGAACAGCATGGGAATCTGAGCACAGGGTCACCCAAGAACAACGGCGGGAAGAACCAACATCTGTTTTCACGGACTGACTTACAAATAAGTATATCGATCATTCTCAGCTTGCAAGAGAATAATGGGAAATACGGCTACAGAATCTGCATTCTCTACTGAAGGAATCTTGTTTTTATCACGAAGGCAAAGAAGAGCCATTTCAGGATTTGGGGCAAGAAAGAGGCAAGAACAAGACAATTTTCATTTATCTTAATGACAGGAAGACCAACCAGAAGCCCAGAGATCAGAATGAAGGTAATTATATTCTTCTATGAGTGAAAGTGACAGAGAGATAGATGATATATCCCCAACAGGGTCTCAAAGAAATGATCCACCTCCAGCTCCAGCCAGCCCCAGACCATGGGCACACAGGTAACTCCTGTGTATACAGGGAGGTCTCTGTATGCAAACCCAGAACTTTTCCTTTGGGTCTGCTTCATAGATCACTGTTTTGCTGCTGTGCCATCATCCAACCCTGAGACATAGAGTACAATGAAAAAGAGGGATAGCAGGGCCAGCAGGTGGCGCGGTGGTTAAGGGCACTGGACTTCCACATGGTTTGAGACTTGGACTTGGGCTTACTTTCTCACCCCCCCGCCCCCACAACACACTCTGTCCCTCCCTGGTCAAATTAAAATAATTAAATGTTAAATAAAATAATTCAAAAGAAAGAAAGAAATAAGAAAGAAAAGAAAGAGAGAAAGAAAGAGAGAAAGAAAGAAAGAAAAGAAAGAAAGAAAGAAAGAAAGAAAGAAAGAAAGAAAGAAAGAAAGAAAGAAAGAAAGGCTTTTGGATTATGGTTAGCATGTATCTATTTCTCCAGAATTCACTTAAAATTGGCAACAGTATCTGTTCTGTAGGACTTTCTCTTCTAACCAGAAAAAATCTATCTATCAATAGCTCCTGAGGACCACTCTAACCAACAGGAAGCAAAGAACAAAGAAGAAAAATAAGAATGAACAGTAACATTCAGCTTATCCTTAATTCCTCCTGCCCAGGAAGAGAAACAGTGATCATTTAAGGACAGTAAAATGGGTTACAAGTATCATTTGTATCTGTCCTTACAGTGGACAGCCTCAACCTTGGGGGCAGATGCCTGGCTAAGTCACAATGTTTCAAACCAAATTAATTCCCCTTTGGACAAGTGTGTTGGGCAAAGCTAAACAGGACACTAACTTTTCCTGCTTTTCACACTAAGATTTTTTTATTCTTTCCAATAACAAATATTTACTGAATGTCTATCTTGATCTTAGCATTATGCTACTGTCTCTGGGTCTCTGTCTTTCTGGCGAGCGCACGTGCCCTATAGCAAAAACCTCTCCAAAAAGAAGACGAAAATTCCTATATCAGTACCACGACAGTGGCCACGAGAGGAGGGCTGTATGCTGCCATCTAAAAACTGATGAAAGGATGGCACATCTGTCCCTTCCCCAGGTCTAGAATCTACTAAGGGAGACAAACACAAGCCCTGCAGAGTGCCAGCACTGAAAACAGCCTTGGAAAGCAAATGCCCACTCAGAATCCTCAGTTCTCCGATAACCTTGAGAACTGAACACTCAAAATAACACCTGGTTTCTGAAGCACCACACCTGCCTGTGGGTCCACAGGTGCCGCGTGATAGACACTTGGGACAACATTAGCTGTTAGGCCCCTCCGGTCATTCACACGCTCCTGCTGATACCAAGAGGAGAGTATTTCTAAAATGTTATTATTTGGGGACCAGCACTTGGCATTATGGCTATGTTGCTGGACTCCCATGTAGTCAACTGCAGTTCGAGTTCCAGACCTGGTGGCTTAAACTCACGCCGGGCGCATGTGCGTGCGTGCCCAAGATCCCGAGAAGAGAATGGAGGAGAAGGGATTGCAGCGTGGCCATCCCCCCTGGGAGGGTGATTTCTCACTTTCTGTCTCTCTGTCTCTCTCTGTCTTTTTGGTAAGCACATGCTCCCCTATAGCAAAAACCTCCCCCCGCAAAAAAATGTTATTATTTCAACACAGTTTGCTTTCAATGAGAATAATCACTCTTCATTAGGAAACATGGGGGAATTGAAACTTTAGGACGTTTATAGGGAAGAGATGCCAGACTGTAATCCTATTTTTAGCAATCCAAGTGGGTGATGCAGCAATTTAGACCCAGTGACATCAGTTTCAGGGGAAGAATCTTTTCACCAAAAATAAAGAATTCATCTCTTTCATGTCAAACAACTCCCGTGTCTGTTCTACACTTTGATTTTGCTTCTTCATAGACTGGAGCCTATGCTAATTTTCCTTAAAGGTCATTAAAACATTTTTCATAAGCCAGTAGAGTTGATTTTCCACCTCCAACAAAATAAAAAATAACCAACCATTTGGACATCTGGAAAGAAGCTAGATCACTTAATAAAATATACTTAGTATCCCAAAGGAGCCATACTGAATACATAGACACGTCGAAATACATATACATATATATGCACACACCTTTACACACACTTATCTTTAAAAATGTGAGTTGTTACTATGTTAAAAATAACTTTCAATCAAAATATTTCTTCAGTAATCCCATATGGATACCATCTGAGTTTTTACTAAGCAGTCTTTGCAGGTTTCAAAAATTAAGGCAGTAAATTTATACCAAAGTTAATGAAATCGTTATACTAAGGCTCCAGCACAAAAATGAACTCTGCATCCAAGGAGAATTTATTAGTTAACTGTGGATATGTAACTTTGGAACACGTGTAGGTTGATATAGCCTACTTGAAGGAAATGTGTCTGCTTCATTTATCAGGTGGCCAGTAAATATGGCTAAAGAGATTTTCACATGAGCCAGAAGCTTTATTTAGTATTTCTGTCTTAAAATGCAGGTTCTGGGGCATATGTGAAATTCACTTTAAGAGACCAAGGGGAAAATGATAAGGGCCTTGAAGAAACAGGCAGGCAGTCAGTCACCTTTCCGGCCAGTAGAAACCAAAGCGTCAGAAGAGACAGTCATGACAGCCAATCAGAGGAGGGATGCCATGTGTTCGAGGAATACAGAAAAAGACAACCTCACACACACACATCCTATATTGAGTATCGCAACTGTAGACAACGTTCTGAATTTCAGGAAAGGATTCACGAAAACAGGGAACTACATGGGTCATTCAAGATAAAATGCTCTGTGACAAGGGTTAGTTCACTTCCCCTGCAATGGGCCAGAGGAGATATTTTAGGTTTTACTGGCCACATCATCTCTGCCACATCTACTCGACGCTTGCGACAAGGCACGAAAGCAGCCACCCACAAGATATAGAAGAAAAGCCAGTGGCTGGGATCTAACGAGGCAGGTTACCGGCTGTAGGCCAGATCTGGGCTGCAGGCCACAGTTTGCTGACCCCTGCTCCAGGGTGATAGTTTTAAACCTTTTTTTAAATACCAAGGAAGAAACTTGTTTGACATTGCATATATGAAGTTTATACTTAGATATGTATCACAATGCGAGGGGACTTCAAAAGTTCATGGAAAATGCATTCCATGGAAAAACTAAATGTGGATTTCAACTTGTATTAAAATTCCATTTTTCCACCGCCTTTTCAAGAATGTATTATGCAGGGACCAGCAGTTAGCATAATGGCTATGTCGCTGGACTCCTATGTAGTTGACCGCAGTTTGTGTCCCGGACCTGGTGGCTTAAAATTCACGCCAGGCACGTGTGCGTGCGTGCCCAAGATCCCGAGAGGAGAATGGAGGAGAAGGGATTGCGGCGTGGCCATCCCCCCTGGGGGGTGATTTCTCGCTTTCTGTCTCTCTGTCTCTCTCTGTCTGTCTGGCAAGCGCACACAACCTATAGCAAAAACCTCTCAAAAAAAAAAAAAAAAAAAGAATGTATTATGCCACAGAGTGCATACATATGCAGAGGGAGCAATGAAGGGTGGAGAGAAAAAGAAAGCACCCCCAGTGGGACCTATTCATGCTGTAATCTTCTTCCAATTCTCCATTCCATGAGGTTGTGCAGGAAACTGACCAGTAAGCTGCTTAGGAAGGGACACAAACCCTGGTCATCCATGTGGAATCCAGCTTCCTCTGCACTGTGCTTAACTGCCTCACTACAGGAGCAGCCCCACAAACTCCTGAAGTACCCTCAAACACCATGTACCATAAGCAATGCACTTTGACATTTCTTACTTTATAGGATTTTTTTTTTTTTTGGAGAGGGAGGGGTTTGGTACCATCATAGACTACTAAATTGATTTCACAAGTAGGCAGTAATGCAGTTTGAAAAAATCTCCAGTGTAAAGGGCAGCTAGGGTGTACTCATTTACTAATTAACTTTCTAGTTACATATAATATTTATTAGATGCTTTCCATGTGCTATGCACTGACAAGTGGTCTAGGTATCTAGCAGTTGTTTTTTATTTTTTTTAAGATAATGATTATAGTTTTGAACTGGTGTAAAATGGTATAATAGCTAGAATATGAACTATTTCTAAGATTGTGGTGGACAGGAACCAGCAGTTAGCGTAATGGCTATGTTGCTGGACTCCCACGTAGTCGACCGCGGTTCGTGTCCCGGACCCGGTGGCTTAAAACTCACGCCGGGCACGTGTGCGTGCGTGCCCAAGATCCCAAGAGGAGAATGGAGGAGAGGGGATTGAGGCGTGACCATCCCCCCTGGGGGGGTGATTTCTCACTTTCTGTCTCTATGTCTCTCTCTGTCTGTCTGGCGAGCGCACGCGCCCTACAGTGAAAATCTCTCAAAAAAAAAAAAAAAAAAAGATTGTGGTGGAAATGAAAAATTTACCAAAGTATCTGGCATACATCAAGTAATCAGTATTTACTATACCATTATTATTAATGAAATTCAGTCGAAATATACATGTATGCTAAAATAAAAGTACTCTTTAAAATAAGTTAACACTCCAATATCTTAATTAATGAGATGGCCTTACCTATATACTTTAAAACCAGTGAGTTTTACAGTAATAACATATTATGATAGTCAAAATATAAAATAGAGGAATTTTAACTCCCCTGGCTTCTCCCTTCCCCATTCAACAAAATTCAGAAGTTTTTTCTATATACCTTTAAACGCAATCTAGAAAACACAGGCCATTTGTAGATCAATTTGTATCATAATCATAATGCTAAAAGGTAAAAAGAATTTAAAAATATAAAAGGTGCTCCAAAATTTGTAATACGTTACTACACCTATATGTTTAACTAAAACCTACCATACATAAATTTCCATAAAACTTTGTAACAGAGGGACCAGCAGGTGCATGGTAGTTAAGAAGCTGGACATTCCCACTTGGTCAACCACGGTTCGAGTCTCGGACCTGGTGGCTTGCTTTCTCACTTTCCCTCTCTCTCTGTCTCCCTTTCACTTTCTCTCTGTGTCTCCCAGTCAAATTAAAAAAAAAAAAAAGTAAATAAACAAAATTCAATAAATAATTCTCAGAAAAAACTTTGTAACAGATAAAAATGTTTTTGCATATTAAATAACTTTTTCAATTATCAAAACAGATCAAAGATGAGCTTCATTATGGCAGATATTTTTGTCTATTTTTTTTACTGCTGTATATTCAGAACTTAGAACAACCCTCAGCATTTAATAGCTGTTTGCTAAATATTTGTTGTACGAAAAAACAGGGAACAAATAACTTGTTGATTTACTTATGTCTTAACACTGCATTCAAAAAATTATTTAGAAATACAGATTATTTCAAAGTACTATACTTAACAGTTGCTCAGCACTTTTAGTTTAACTGGCTTATTAATACGATTGGTCAGAAACTGATGTATGTGAGTATTTTTATAGAGAGAGTGAAATAATCTTACCTTCTTTTTCTACTCTAAAAACAAAAGTTCTTTGAGTTGTAACAACTTCAAATTTGCTATCTCCTTGAACTCGTACGGTAGATATGGCAGAGAGGGGAATTATTCCTTTTGAATACATTTCCTGTATTAGAGAAAAAGATAAAGACACATTAAAATGAAATTCTCTTGATTAAAAAAAATAGAAAAGACTGGACAGTACTTATAACACTTCTTTTTTTTCATAATTTTAACCTAAATTCTAAAAATGACATACAAATAGTATGGATGCTTTATATGTTGATTTAATGCTCTTGAAAGGAAATTATTAACATCCCTTTCTTTTAAACGGGATATCTTTTTAGTATCCTCTTCACGTGAAATTAAAAGACAACGAATCAACAACACCAAGCAGATCGGTGACACACATTCAGAAAGCCAGCAGCCTATTCCGTAAAACAAGCTGGTCAGAACGATTTCACGGTGTTTGCAGGCATCTGCTGGCCACAGCAGGTACTGTACCGACACTGTTTCAGAAGTACTGCTTTTACATACTGAGAACAGAAACATACCTAAGAAACCCGTGGGCTTTTTATCAATGAACTGTATGTATCAATGATCTTGCTAAGAATCTTAATCCCATACTGCATCATTATACGTTTTATTCCCCCAATGACGGCAGAGTAAAAATGGATGAATTTTAACTGTTTGTAACTGGCATATACATTTTCCACTTGGGCTCAAAAAGCTTATTTTTAAGACTTGGATAACAAGGTTAGCTTTATTTTTAGCAGAAGAATGACTCTACAATGGACAGGGGAGAAAAAGAGGATAAGCTTTTGGGTGATAGTGAATTCAACTTAAAAAGACTGAAGTAATTATGGGGCAGTTACAAATACTATCAATGACTCAAAACGTGGGAGTGGACTTGATGAGGAAGAGAGATTTTAGATTCCTCTGCATAAAGCTGTAGTTGAAATACAAGGGAATGGTCTTTGACACGGGCTGATCTTCGGCACCCATGTAACTTGGACTCTCCCTACAGCCGGAGTCCTCTTACTCCCCGTTCCTGACAACTCTGAATTCTAGTCACATGGGCCTTTTTGAGGTTTCCTACATAGAGGTTTCTGCTCAGACCAGTGCCTCCGCATGCAATGTGTGCTCTGCAAGGAAAGTTTTTCAAACCTGTCCACATAGTCGCTGCCTCATCTGCCCTCAGGTTCAGCAATAAAGATACCTTCTTGAAGAAAACCTTTCTGAACAGCCTCGTTTCACAAACTGCTTATCCTCACCCAGGTAGATAACCCTAATTTTTTTTCTTGGAGAAGTTTTTGCTATAGGGCACATGCACTCGCCAGAAAGACAGAGAGAGACAGAAAGCGAGAAATCACCCCACAAGGGAGACGGCCTCCCATGTAGTCACCCGTGGTTCGAGTCCTGGACCCGGTGGCTTAAACTCACGCTAGGCACGTGTGCATGTGTGCCCAAGATCCCAAGAAGAGAATGGAGGAGAAGGGATTGCGGCATGGCCATCCCCAACTGGGGGGGGGTGATCTCTCACTTTCTGTCTCTCTGTCTCTCTCTGTCTGTCTGGCGAATGCACGCGCCCTATAGCAAAAACCTCTCCAAAAATTTTTTTAAAATGCCTGCATTTTTCAGAGGATAACATTTTCATTGAGGAAAGAAACTTTAGAACATCCCTTGAGCCTGTAACACAAAGATATCGAGGTTGAGTTTGTCATTTATCTACCACTTTCAGGCAATGAAATGACCACAGGGCAATCCTGCCCACAGCTGAGTGAGAATGGGGGTGAGCTGGATTTTCCTAGCAGGGGATAAGCGGTCAAGCTGCTGGGAGGATACCGTTTTCTGAGAGAATGAAGAGGTCTTTGCAGAGACACATTTGGATGGCCTTGAGAATAGTGGAAGAGAACTAGGAAAACAGACAACTCTGCACACCACCTCCCAAACGCCCAACCAACCACATGCTGTGCAAATAAAACTTCCAAAATTAAAAGTTCCAGCCACTGTGTCCACGTATCCACAAAAAGTGTGCACCAAGCCAAGAAAATAGCTATGGCCACACTTACGCAACAGAGACTTTCTCGTTTAGGAAACATTCACCTCAGGACCAGCAGTTGACATAATGGCTATGTCGCTGGACTCCCATGTAAGTCGACTGCAGTTCGAGTCCTGGACCCGGTGGTTTAAACTCATGCCGGGTGCATGTGCGTGCGTGCCCAAGATCCCAAGAGGAGAATGGAGGGGAAGGGATTGTGGCATGGCCATCCCCCCTGGGGGGTGATTTCTCGCTTTCTGTCTCTCTGCCTCTGTCTTTCTGGTGAGCACACATGCCCTATAGGAAAAAGAAAAGAAAAGAAAACATCTACCTCAGTGTTTTCGGACTTTTTGCCGATGTGAAATTAATCACCCAGATAGTAATAAAGAGATGAGATGCCATTGAAAACAACAACTGAACTTTTTTGAAGTTCATTTTATTTATTTCTACCCTGAGAGAGAAACAGAAAAGTTGTTGGAAACAACAACTGAATATTTTGAAGTTCATTTTATTGATTTCTACCCTGAGAGATTTCTTTCTCTCTTTCTCTGAGGGAAAGAAGGAAAAGAGAGAAACAAATAAGACACCACCACCCACCCACAGACCTTCATGGCTTGGAAGCCAGACTCACTTCTGAACAGTTTTTCTCGTCATTTCAATCAATCAAGTCAGAAAAAGGCACAGGTGCTGAAGAAAGCCAGTAGCAGATTCCATCAGGTACAGAGACTAGCCTACATATGGAATTGTCTCAAACATGTACAAGCAAACTATTGAGCCACCGGAAAAGCCATGACGCATTTTTGCATAGAAAAAATACACCATGACTTTTCCAATGCCCCAACAGTAGCTAAAGCTGAAACCAGCTTTTAAAAATGATTCATGCCACCATCTTGCAAACCTCAAAGAGATGTGTTTAAACCTATTCAGTGCTTTCTGTGGATCACCGCAAAGTGACACAACATGAAACTCCTCTAAACCTCCTACTGTACTCAGCATCGTGGTATGTCATGCAGGCTCAGTTAAGCTGCAAGGTGTGTTACTTTCCAACTAAAAGCATACACGGCCCTGCAGCACTGAGAAATCAATATACAAAGGGGGGTCTAAATCTTTACTAAGCCAGACCTATCACTAACATTAAGCAGTAGAAATCTCCAACAGGGAAATAAAGTTAGGTTATAAGTTATCCATTTTTAATCTTCTAAAATTTCAGTTTTGTCATTTTAAAGTCTTAAAATGAGCATTTCTCATATTATGAGAAAGTACAGATTTAAGGTGAAGATCATTTCATCTTAACTTACTTAAAACTATGGAATATTTATTAGTTCCATTTATTTCCCTTAAAGGTTTGGGCCATAGGGCATACATGCTCACTGGAGAGAGACAGAGAAGGAAAGTGAGAAATTACCCTTCCAGGGGACGGACACCACAATTCTTTCTCCTCCACTCTCCTCTCAGAATTTTTGGGCACACATGCACCCACACGATTTTCAAGCAGCCAGACCTGAGACTCAGACCATGGTCAGCCATGGGGAGTCAAGCACCTTAGCTACTATGCCACCTGCTGGCCCTACAACTCCAAATTTTTATTAAGGAAACTTTCAAACACAGAAGAAAAAACAGTCAATGAGCACCCACATATTTTCCATCTAGATTTGACAATTGATGGCATCTTCAAAATTTGTTTTGTCTGACTGTGTATGTGTGCAAATAAATATATATTACAACTATAAACATATAGGAATGAGTAATATTTGAAGTATATTTGCAGATATAATGCTAGTAAATCCTTATATATTTCAGCCTACATCTAATAAGAACAGACATACTTACTGAGAAGTCAATGTACAAACTCTACATGTCATTAAGACTCAACTGCCCCAAAATATATTGTAGCCACTTTCACATAATACTCAAAATTTCCAGTGAGCTCCAACTCCAATCTTCTCTATTCTCAAGTCAGAGAACAGTCACTTTTACCATACAAACCTCACACTGTCCTGTCTGGTATCTGTATCTGTTCTCTCTGCTACTGGGTCTTATTCTCTCTAGTTCCTACATGTACAACCATTCCCCTTTTTTTCAGGCCCCATTTCCAATGAAATCTCATGCAAATGTCTCACACACTCACAGTACAAAGCCAGCTGTAGCTTTGTCATTTCCTACTCAGACTTTTGTTGCGAAAATGTCTTAAAGTTCTCTAGAATTAAGGCAATGTTTTGTTCATCTTTATATTGTTCATAGCAGCTCCCAGAGTTTATAAAGATACTTCGTAAATAATTCCTAGATAGTTAAGTTTAAAAAATCCTAACTTTATATGTCAAGGAGAAAAAATTAAATGATAAAAAAGTAGATGTGCTTTATCCTACTCAAAATCTTTTTATGTCAGTAGCTCACCGCCTCTGCTGGAAAACCATACCCTGCTTGCTTGGTTTACTGAAGCATACTTAGAAAGCAAAGAGCAATCTTTGAAAACTGCAAAATGGACTCACCTTCTCGTTATTGTAGTAAGAAATGCTAAGGCCATCAAATTTCACCCATCTCTTCTGAAACATGCGCTTTCTGTAAAATATATGAAGTTGTTATTTTACGTTCAAGTACCATGAACTTGGATTATAAATACATCTGTAACATAACCACATTGAGTGCATTTCCATTTGCTGATAAAACAGTGTCAATGACAATAGTTTACGACAAGGTACAGTTTAGGCAAAAGTATGTATGAAAAAAAATTTAAAAAAATAGAATGACACGTTTTAGTTAATGAATGCATTTCTTTTATTTTCTCTCTCTTTATTTTATTTATTTTTATGCTATTTATTTATTTATTTATTTTTGGAGAGGTTTTTGCCATAGGACGTGTGTGCTCGCCAGACAGAGAGAGAGAGACAGAAAGCGAGAAATCACCCCCCAAGGGGGATGGCCACGCCACAATCCTTTCTCCTCCATTCTCCTCTTGGGATCTTGGGCACGCACACACATGCGCCCGGCGTGAGTTTTAAGCCACTGGGTCCGGGACTCGAACTACGGTCAACTACATGGGAGTTCAGTGACATAGCCATTATGCTAACTGCTGGTCCTTTAATGAATGCATTTCTGAAAAATGGTACTTCTAACAGTGTTGTCATATACAGTTACAGAATTCAGTGCAAAACAAGGTGTGATAAGAAATATTATCACTTAATCTAGTCCCCTTCCTGGAGATGATCCTTCAATAGAGATGACAGAAGTAGCGTCCCACATTGAACTTACACATCTGCTGTATTTTACCTTAATTTTCCTTGGAGATCTGAATAATATTTTGCTAAAATGATTACGCTTGATCGATTGGATTTATGTAAAATACTTAATTTTTAGTATATGATCATTTCATCTTAACTTACTTAAAACTATGGAATATTTATTAGTTCCATTTATTTCCCTTAAAGGTTTGGGCCATAGGGCATACATGCTCACTGGAGAGAGACAGAGAAGGAAAGTGAGAAATTACCCTTCCAGGGGACGGACACCACAATTCTTTCTCCTCCACTCTCCTCTCAGAATTTTTGGGCACACATGCACCCACACGATTTTCAAGCAGCCAGACCTGAGACTCAGACCATGGTCAGCCATGGGGAGTCAAGCACCTTAGCTACTATGCCACCTGCTGGCCCTACAACTCCAAATTTTTATTAAGGAAACTTTCAAACACAGAAGAAAAAACAGTCAATGAGCACCCACATATTTTCCATCTAGATTTGACAATTGATGGCATCTTCAAAATTTGTTTTGTCTGACTGTGTATGTGTGCAAATAAATATATATTACAACTATAAACATATAGGAATGAGTAATATTTGAAGTATATTTGCAGATATAATGCTAGTAAATCCTTATATATTTCAGCCTACATCTAATAAGAACAGACATACTTACTGAGAAGTCAATGTACAAACTCTACATGTCATTAAGACTCAACTGCCCCAAAATATATTGTAGCCACTTTCACATAATACTCAAAATTTCCAGTGAGCTCCAACTCCAATCTTCTCTATTCTCAAGTCAGAGAACAGTCACTTTTACCATACAAACCTCACACTGTCCTGTCTGGTATCTGTATCTGTTCTCTCTGCTACTGGGTCTTATTCTCTCTAGTTCCTACATGTACAACCATTCCCCTTTTTTTCAGGCCCCATTTCCAATGAAATCTCATGCAAATGTCTCACACACTCACAGTACAAAGCCAGCTGTAGCTTTGTCATTTCCTACTCAGACTTTTGTTGCGAAAATGTCTTAAAGTTCTCTAGAATTAAGGCAATGTTTTGTTCATCTTTATATTGTTCATAGCAGCTCCCAGAGTTTATAAAGATACTTCGTAAATAATTCCTAGATAGTTAAGTTTAAAAAATCCTAACTTTATATGTCAAGGAGAAAAAATTAAATGATAAAAAAGTAGATGTGCTTTATCCTACTCAAAATCTTTTTATGTCAGTAGCTCACCGCCTCTGCTGGAAAACCATACCCTGCTTGCTTGGTTTACTGAAGCATACTTAGAAAGCAAAGAGCAATCTTTGAAAACTGCAAAATGGACTCACCTTCTCGTTATTGTAGTAAGAAATGCTAAGGCCATCAAATTTCACCCATCTCTTCTGAAACATGCGCTTTCTGTAAAATATATGAAGTTGTTATTTTACGTTCAAGTACCATGAACTTGGATTATAAATACATCTGTAACATAACCACATTGAGTGCATTTCCATTTGCTGATAAAACAGTGTCAATGACAATAGTTTACGACAAGGTACAGTTTAGGCAAAAGTATGTATGAAAAAAAATTTAAAAAAATAGAATGACACGTTTTAGTTAATGAATGCATTTCTTTTATTTTCTCTCTCTTTATTTTATTTATTTTTATGCTATTTATTTATTTATTTATTTTTGGAGAGGTTTTTGCCATAGGACGTGTGTGCTCGCCAGACAGAGAGAGAGAGACAGAAAGCGAGAAATCACCCCCCAAGGGGGATGGCCACGCCACAATCCTTTCTCCTCCATTCTCCTCTTGGGATCTTGGGCACGCACACACATGCGCCCGGCGTGAGTTTTAAGCCACTGGGTCCGGGACTCGAACTACGGTCAACTACATGGGAGTTCAGTGACATAGCCATTATGCTAACTGCTGGTCCTTTAATGAATGCATTTCTGAAAAATGGTACTTCTAACAGTGTTGTCATATACAGTTACAGAATTCAGTGCAAAACAAGGTGTGATAAGAAATATTATCACTTAATCTAGTCCCCTTCCTGGAGATGATCCTTCAATAGAGATGACAGAAGTAGCGTCCCACATTGAACTTACACATCTGCTGTATTTTACCTTAATTTTCCTTGGAGATCTGAATAATATTTTGCTAAAATGATTACGCTTGATCGATTGGATTTATGTAAAATACTTAATTTTTAGTATATGGTTAAGGAAAGCTCTGTCCAAATACAATCACTTACAATCACTCAAAATTCACCGAAACTTTTTTTTAAGTTTCTTTATTTCTTCAGAGACAGAGTGGGAGTGAGGGAAGAATGGAGAGAAGGAGGTGCATCCCCAATGGGGTATTGATGGTCCGATTCAGATCACAAGCACACAGCCAGGCATACATAAAGACCTCCCCCAGGACATGAACCTGGGACCTTCCCATGTGGTTGCAGCATCAGAGCCTTCATTGTACGGCTGCTGCACCACGGCTGCCCTAAACATTAATACATTTTGACAAAAGGATCATATAAAAGGCAAACGCAGCTTAAAACGGTTACTGAAATTAAAAACAGAAGCAAAATAACAATCACTTTTCCTATTTTTGACTTAAAAGAAAAATAAAAACAGTTTTCTGACCGTGTAAGGAACTGAAGAACCATTTTGATGTGGGCTTCTTTTTGTTTCATTGTATTCCCTTTCCCTGAAGTTGGACAGTCTTATACGTTCTGAATATTGTATTCCCCATAGGCCTCTTAGTTTTGGACTGATATCATCTACATACTTTAATCCTTCAACAATAATACATGAAAACTCACTTCCTGTTCTAAAAAAAAAAATGTGATTTCTGGGGCCAGCAGGTGGCGCGTAGGCTCAGGTATTGGATTTCCACAGGGCCAACTCTGCAGTGAGTCCTGGACCTTGAAAATAACACTGGGTAAATGCATGTACATGTCCAAGATCCCAAGAGGAGAATGGAAAAGACGGGGCTGCATCATGGCCACCTCCCTCTCAAGCAGGTCATTTCTTACTTTCATTCTCTATCTCTGGCAAGCATATGTGCCTTATAACAGGAACTAAAATATAACAATAATAAAGAAGTAATTTCTGGGACCAGCAGTTGGCATAATGGCTATGTTGCTGGACTCCCATGTAGCTGACCACGGTTCAAATCCCAGACCTGGTGGCTTAAACCCACGCCAGGCGTGTGTGCGTCCCTGTCCAAGATCCCAAGAGGAGAATGGAGAAGGGATTGCAGCGTGGCCATCCCCACCGGGGTGTGTGTGTGATTTCTCACCTTCTGTCTCTCTCTATCTCTCTCTCTCTGGTGAGCACACGCTCCCTATAGCAAAAACTTCTCCAAAAATAATAATAATAATAATAATAATAATTTCTAAACAAAAAGGTAAACATCAACTATGTCTACCATGTCCTTTTGCAGTTTTCTAACACTTTAGGATTAAAAAAAGGTTTCACTTTCTGTGATTTTTCAGATTTAACAATGAAAAAAAACTTCCAGGAATACAGAGAGGTCAACTCCCATGCTGCTTCGGGAACCACACACCTATTACTCAGTGAAATACAATGAGCCTCTCACCCTGATCATTAGCAAACTTATTCTGCTGAAGATAAAGTTAAAGCAAATCTGATTGAGAGGAGAACATTTCTGAAGTTCACCAGTGCACACAGCACGTTCACATACAGTGTTAAACAGGCATATCTAAGAGATCCAAGTTTGATTTCGGTCACCCCTTAAATAAAGGAAATATCACAATAAACCGAGTCATACTAATTAACTTGGTTTCCCAATGCTTATAAAACTTACTAGGTCATCAGAAAAGTCAAGATGTTTTTTATTTCCTGTGTTTTTCTATGCAAGAATGCATCGTGAGTTTTCTGACAACCCAATATATTCACACCCTACTGAAGTCAATTAAGTGCGCAATTGTGTATGCTGAAACAAATAATGCGTACCTTAATTAAAAAATAATTTCCTGCAAGAAAACATTAGCACTCATCTGAGCCCTCAGCAAGTCGGAGTGCTTTTGTAGGCAGAGAACCTTGTCTCGATGGGTGATGGTTGAAAGTCGGGGTGGCTGAGACAAGTTTTTTTTTTTTTTGAGAGATTTTCACTACAGGGCACCTGCACTCGCCAGACAGACAGAGAGAGAGACATAGAGACAGAAAGTGAGAAATCACCCCCCAGGGGGAATGGTCATGCCAGAATCCCTTCTCCTCCATTCTCCTCTCAGGATCTTTGGCACGCACGTACAAGCGCCCGGCGTGAGTTTAAGCCACCGGGTCCAGGACACGAACCGCGGTCGACTACGTGGGTGTCCAGCAACATAGCCATTATGCTAACTGCTGGTTCCCAAGTTCTTAAAACAACAATGAAGTTTGCTGTATAGTTAACTCTTGCTGCCATAAAAAAGATTTCTCTGTAGCATGGGATGCTGTCTGATAGTGTTTTGTGGGGGTTTTTTTAAGAGGTTTTTGCCTTAGGGCACACGCACTCACTGAGGAGAGACAGAGAGAGTAAGAAGGAAGGTGAGAAAGCATCCCCCAGGGGCGATGGCCACACCACAGTCCCTTGTTCTCCATTCTCTTCTTGGGATCTTGAGCACACATGCATGCACATGTGCCTGGTGTGATTTTCAAGCTGCTGGGCCCTGGACTCAAACCATGGTTGGCCGTGTGGAAATCCAGCCATATAACTTCTATACCACCTACTGCCCGTTTGGTATTCATTTTATGTACACCAGAACGTCTTTCAAATTTTAGTCAGTCCTCTCAAACGCAGTGCTGCATTATCAACTAAGTTTTAAAATATTCTAAATCTTTTTTTTTTTTTGAGAAGTTTTTCTACAGGGTGCATGTGCTCGCTAGAAAGACAGAGAGAGACAGAGAGACAGAAAGTGAGAAATCACCCCCAGGGGGATGGCCACGCCACAATCCCTTCTCCTCCATTCTCCTCTTGGGATCTTGGGCACGCACGCACGCACGCACACCCGGTGTGAGTTTAAGCCACCGGGTCCGGGACTCGAACTGCGGTCAACTACATGGGAGTCCAGCTACATAGCCCCTAAATCTTTTTTTACCATTTATACAATGTTTACAGCACTTTCACCAGTAGCCCACATCTTAAGAAACCAGTCTTTGCTCATCTAGAAGCAGCAGCTCCTCCTCCATTCGAGTTTAATCACGAGGCTGCAGCAGTTCAGTCCCATCTTCAGGTTTCACTTCTTACTCGACTTCTCTTCCTATTCCTATCACTCTGCATTACTTCGTTCTTCCACTAAAGTCTTGAACCTATCAAAGCTATACATTTGGGTTTGAACCAACTTCTTTCAAGTTCTGTTAATGATATTTTAACCTCCTTCTGTGAATGACAAATGTTCTTAATATCATAAAGAATGGTGAATTTCTTTCTGAAAGTTTTCAATTGACTGTCCAGATCTGTTAGGAAATCATTATATACCACACACAAATACACACACACACATACATACACACACATTGATGTAAATATCCATTCTACTTCTTAAATAATAAGACTTCGAAGTTGAAGTTACTCCTTGGTCTGTGGGCTACAGAATGGATGTGTGTTAGCAGACATGAAAACATTAATCTCCTTGTACGTCTTCATCAGAGCTGTTGGGTGACCAGGTGCATTGTCAATGAGCAGTCATATTTGGAAAGGAATCCTTTTTCCTGATCAGTAGGTCTCAACAGTGGGCTTAAAATACTCAGTAAACAGTACTGTAAAAAGAGATGCTGTCATGCAGATTTGGTACTACAGCTGGTAATAAAAACAGCAAACACACAGTGCTTTGTTTCAGGTACTGTGCCGAGCCACATAAAAATATTAATTCAGTTTATCCTCCAAACCACCAAATGAGGAGGAAGTAATATTATTATATCCATTTTACAAATGATGACACAGAGGCATTGTTTGGTTAACTAATTTGCCTAAGTCACCCAACTAGTAAAGGGCATAGCTGGAAGTCAAATCTTGGCAGTCTCTTCTCCAAGACAGTGCTGTTAACCACCACACAAAACAGACTCTAGTATCTTATATAAACAAGTGCCCTGGATTTCCCTTTAGGTCAGAAAAGCTTGACCTCTACATGTTTTATATGACAGTTCAATTTCAAAAAGCCCTTCAGAATTCCTTTAAGATAAAAGGTAAAACAGACATGAAACACATTATCCTGGGTTTTATCTTTTTTGTTTTTAGGGTTCTGAAGGGAAACATTTCTTAAGAAGCTTTTTTAGAATAATTTATAAGGCTTGTGCAGTATTATTGAACAGATTTCTACAAACTCTTCCCTAGAGTTTTGATAGGGCAGGTGGTATAAAGTTTCAACTGCTTTCATAAAAACAGCTTCACCACCTGGTCTCAGTTTTTGTTGTCTCAA